ACAAAGTTCTTGTTTATGAGGGATCTATGTCATTCTATTGTCTCTGGGGAAAACTAAAAGTTATAGATTTAAGATAGATTGAACTATGTAGGTGAAGAGTTAAAATAGGCTATGACACGTGTCTATGCCAAGGATAAATCAAAAGGAATGAGTAAGATAAACGGATGGGATGGAAGAAACTCGAGCAACCTATTAATGAAGGGACGAACCAATTGGGTAGAGGGTAGGTGAAATGCTCTCACATGCCAAAATTTTCTCATCCTCTTCAATGGGCAAATAATATGGGTATTTATAGCACAGTATTCAGGAAGATCAAGCTGCCCGAAAGGCTGCCCACCGTGACCCTTACGACTTGCGCCAACCCACAACTGATTCGATCGCAACGATATCAGTGACCACTAAACGCGAGTCATGTGTCCTCATATTAACTAGGCAGATATGACGTTTTCTCAAATGCAGCTTGGACGCAGCTTTGAGGAAAGTGCAACAACGAAGGTGGAAGGGGCTTCCAATATCCATGACCGCGATTGATCACTGCGAGACCATGACCTCGAGAGGGCCATGTTTGCGATACCCCCAACGCGCTCCTACCCGGGCCCTTCCCTTCCCTCTTTAAACCATTCCTTTAGATCTTTGTTGAGGTGCTCAATAGAGAAAACTCACATACTTTTGATTATTCATCCACCAATCTATATGTCCCATCATCTTATATGTTGATATGAACCAATAATCTCAATTATCTTAGGAGTCCCTCTGGATCCCAATGAAGCACGTCCCAATGGGCAGTGAGAGCTCAAGTAGACTAAACCTTCGAGACTTTGCCCCAAGCCAAGCATGACTGCCCTCGTTGTTTAGTTCTCCCTTGAGTAGGACCATACCGCCTTGTTCCTAGGTGGGGACCCCTTTTCTTAGTCCAATGGATCAGTCGAACAATAGTGTCCAGTACATTGAGGATACAACTCCCGCAGTGGGGGAGGCGAGTGTCACAGAGGTTGCCCCAAACTATTGCGGTTCCACTTTTGTCCATCCTTGGTGAAGGGTCTATTTTGCCACTTCCCATGCAATGGGGATGTATTTCACCCGTTGTGGTGTTGTGCTCAAGGACATCGCACCTGGGGCGTCACATATGGGGGTGTCAATCCTTGGTTGTCGTGCCTAGGGGTGTCGTGCATTGGGAGCATCGTGCCGTACACCGTTATCCATACTATTCCATTTGGATCTGTTGGGCCCCACTGTCATGTAAGCCAACTTTTTCCATTTGTCCTCTCATAGTGTAGACACGTCTCCTAAATTTATTGAGTACTACAAACTGTCGAAGAAGAAAAAAATGAGATATGAGCAAGCTTCAGTTCTTGGAGTTTGTTGCTGGGTCTATTATTTCAACCGTCTCCCTGGGTAATGTCTTCTTGTTATGTTGCAATTCAACTTTTAATGTAGGCAAATTGGGAACCAATGGCTCAGTCCAGTCTCCAAACATTAATGGATTTCCTATCTCCAACAATGTAGTGGGCACCTTTCTCAATTAGCGATTTGGATCGTAGAATCGATTTCCAAATTAGTATGTCCTGTGGTTGCTTATGGACATGAAAGATGGGATTTCTGAAGTAATACTTCCTATTCAGTTGTTGAGTCCACAACTTGGAGTTGTTTGAAAGTAACTATCAACCAGTTTTGCCATCAACGACTGAATTTATGTCTTGTATCTTCTTGAACCCCAAAATTCTAGTTGTTTTAGGGTTACAGATTAAATCTTCTTCCAACTTAATTTTTGCGGCATGCCTTTCCTTAGCGGTTCTCCACCAGAAATTTCTTATTTTATTGTCCGTACGTCTTGTTGCATATTGTCCTTGGAGATCATTTGCATGTTATAGAAAAGGTGGAGGACATACCTTATAAATTCACTAGTTATGGCTTAAATGACCTGTTTTTAATTGAACCGGAGAAGAGATTAGTTGAAGTGCGCATAAACTGACCCAAATACCCTAAAAAGTTAAGCTAAAAAAAAAGAAGGTGCAAATACCATCTAGCCCGGGTGCCTTGTACAATGGCATTTCAATAAATTGGATTTAATTTCCTTTGGAATGACCGCATTGCGCAGAGTTCAGGATAATAGTCTAGGTTGACAATTGTTTCTATCAGTCCTTCCAAATTTGTTGGAAATTGAGGATGTCAAGTTAAGAAAAAGTGTTTGCAAAGGAATAAGAAATAGATTACCTATTTCGCCACATTTTGTTGCCCAAGTTCCATTAGGTAATTCAGGCAATCAATGGTGTTTTTTGTGTCTTCTAATGATTGTGGTGATGTAGAAAATTTACTGTGAGCATCTCACTCCCCCATTCATTGTATTCCTAACCTTTGCTGCCATTTTTCTTATTCCTTGTTTTTTTTCATCGTCAAGGGTGATTGGACCATCCTGCTCACACCTGAATTAATCTTTCCTCTTTAATTACACTGTTAGGTCGAATTACAATATTTTCTATTGTAGTATCAATCTCACTTATTTTTCTTTATACTTCCTTGAGATCGATTAACAATTATTGCATTTTAAACCGGATTTTGTAGGTGAACCATATATGTAAATCCATATGGGATGTTGGTTTTTTTTGTTTTTTTTTAATAACTCAGGAATCCCCAACTGAACCTATTTGGACTTGTGGTCGATCAACTTGGACCCACGCACAAAGCCTTCTCTCCACGCGCAAGTATTAAATCTAGAGAAAGTGACCCCAATAAACATTTTCATTTTTTGTATTGGGTAACACTTCTTTTATGCTAACAAACTTCATTTTTTTTAGACATAATTATTTTTTAGCAATCAAGGGTTGGTTATTTAATGAATTTTGAAAAATAAGCATCAACAGAGCAACACAAAAAATTAATGGTATGATCTTAGTTATAAGAAACATCGGTTGAAATTTAATTAGTGAAATATTTGAAATGAGATGAAAATATGAGCGAATGAGACTCATGGCGGAAGAGAAACTTCAAACCAAAAAAAAAAAGAGAAAGGAAAAAAATTTAGATGAAGAATCGAAGAAATTGGCTCTCAGCCTCTCAGGGGGATTCGAGACTTTATGAAAGGATTTTAATACGATTTAACTCATTGGAATGGTATGTACCAAATTAAATTTTTGACTTACATTGTTATTCAACTACGAGTAAAAGTTTGTTTTGTAGTGTAGGCCATTGGGGTTGATTATAGCGCAAGGGACCTTGTCGCCACTGTGAAATGATGCTTAGGTGGGTTTGTAACCAACGCATATTGGAAAAGATCAAACGACTCTGATCACTTCATTATGCTCAGTTGGATGACATGGATTTTCCAACGATGGAGATTAGGGGACGAGCTTCATTAACATGTGTATCTTGTTTCACCGGATTCCACCCTCGGTCCCACTCAGGCCTCCACCAGTGGCAAAACTTTGTCCGTACACGTAAGCGCTTTGTGTAAGAGAGAGACGTAAGATGATGAATGACTTCGTATCTTTGTTATTAGGGGTGTCAATTTTATCCATTAACATGAATTTGGAACGAATTCGATCTGACACAAAATTTAAAAATAGTAAGATTAATTGACACGAATAATAAATATGTCAAATTAAAGTTCCACACGATTAATGGGTACTGTAGATAAAAAATAATTATTTAAAAAGCATTATAGACAGAAAATAAAAATTTTATAATTTTTTAAATAGTATTATATGAGTTGTTTTCAGATTAAATAATTTTTTTATTAACACGAATATTGACACGAACCCAACACGTACCAAAAGTGACACGATACGAAAATAACACGATCGAAGGTAATGATGATGCACAAATTGGGTTTGTACATCACCTGTCAGATGAGCAGTAATAAATACAGTAATTAAGCAAGACACAAGTAAGACAAGATTTATAGTGATTCGGTCAATGTGATCTACGTCTATTTTAAATGGCTAGGGTTGTTGGGTATTTTATTACTTCAAGGGTGTAGAGAGAGCAGAGAATTACAAGTTTTGAGAGGGAGAAGAGAGTTGTGCTTTACTGAATATGATGCCCCCTAAGTGTTGGTGGAGTTTACAATTTATAGTCACCTCATAATAGATTGAGACGAGTTAATAGTAACTAAATAGTTAATCTAGTGGATCTGGCGACCTCTTCTAAACAGCGAGGCAGTTACAATGCTCTCCATGAGATTCGGTCAAAAGATGAGGGGAAGGTTGACTCTTTCTAAGGCGGCAATGATAAGACTCTTGGATGACCATGCATGCTCCCTTGGTGATGTGGCTCCTCGAACCTAATGATCTTGATCAAGTGTGGACCACTTTGGGCTAGACTTGCTAGATTCTTAGAGTTGGACTATTAATTAAAACTAGGCTTTCAACATGAATTGGGTCATTTGGGCCTGATCCATCATTTGCCCCCTCAATATCTCATGTCCAATGAAACTTGGAGAAGAATGTATTCAGTTGAATTTGAATTCTAACTCACGAAGACTCCTCTCCCGCTACATCCATGTTGAGCTTCAACTAAGGGATTGACTTGCCCAGTCAGATCGCGGGGTTCCACCTGCCCGGTCAGGTGGCAGGGGCTCGAGGGCAATGCCCCCGAAACCTAAACGATTTTTTGAATCACATACTAAGACTCCTCCTCCCTTCCTGATATATTTTAGCTCTGTAGGACGTCTCCAACTATATAAACTTCTTCTTTTACTTCCCCTTTTGGATTCTTGAAGAGCCCTAGTTTATAAATTGGGATTTTTTGCTTTTTCCTTCCCTTAATAGGATTTTTAAACCCTAGGCTATAAATAGAAAACTTCTTATTCATTTTACCCATTTCATACAATCTTGAGAGAGGAAGGTAGAGATCTTCTTGAAATTCATAAAAACCCAAAGCTAGTTCGCTCTTGAGATGAGTTCTCAAAAATCCATGTCCAATGAAAGAGAAGATGTACACAGTATTGTCGATCTTAGAGAGCAGTTTGTGGATCTCGATGGAGAGATCGGAGAGGAGACGCCATGGTTGAAATAGCCTGTAGGCGAAGAAGAGGGGAGATTGGGCGAGAGAGAGGGAGAGGGGAGGCACCGTTGGACGTTGCTACTGGGTGCACGCTAGAGGCGTGCGAGGAGAAGGCATTGGGCACCCCTTTGGGTGTTGATTTGGGAAGCTTGGGTGTGCGGGAGGCTGGACAAGGCGAGCAGGAGGCTAAGCGCGTAGCACTGGGCGCCGATCTGGGCGGTGGGCAGCCTGAGGCGACTGTTCGCGTGTTGCTGGGGTTACCTGATGCAGCTATTCACTCACTGCAGGGCGTGAGGGAGATAGATCGGGCAATGGGCGAGAGGGAAGAAATGGGTGCTAATTTTGGCGTGGCTCGAGTGAGAACTTTCGCTCGTGTTGCCAACCAGATTGGCTAAGTTGGGCGCTCAGGGGCTAGCGCCACTATAATACCCAATACAGGTATGTGTTTGAAATTTTCTTTTTTTTTTTATAAATAAATAAAAAGAGAGGAAGTTATTTAAAAATTTTAAAATTGGTTGTACGCTAATATGTTACGGTTAAAACTGTAATTCTAAGAAATTAAAAGGACTTAAGTGACATTAAAAAGAGATAACTATCGTGTCTTATAAGTAAATTGGCTGCCCTAGTTGCCTCATATATTATTAGTATTGTTGGGCTGGAAGGAATAGGAGAAAGACAAAGAGAAAGGTAGAAAAAAGAACGAAAGGATAAAAAAAAGAGTGGACTCATTAAAGGTATGAATTAATTAATTATTGGTAAGTTTGTAAGTTATTCAATTACATAGTTTTAAGGTTATCATAAATAGTGATAAGGAATACTTTTATATACATATATATATGTTCATGGTGAAGAATAGTAATGAATGTATAAATGAGTTTTATTGAAAATTGTTAATTCAAGTGTTTTGAAACCTAATATAATTTTATTGTTTTTAAAGCCTTTAAAGAATTTTTTTAATGTCTTGCAAAGCAAAAAGAAAACAAAGGGGAAAGGAAGTACTGGTTCTATGTTCTGCCGCTGGAAGAAGAAGACCAAATCTAAAAATTACAGAAAGATCCCTTTTAGTTTTAAAGAGTTTTATTTTGACCCTTTTAGTTTTAAAGAGTTTTATTTTGACCCTTTTATTCTCCTAAACTTAATTTTAAGTACATTTTTACTTAGTAAGTTGCAAGAAAAGAATTCTGAAAAATTTATAGCAAGCCCGAAAACATAAAATTCGTTTTCAAGGAAATTACACTTTGACCCCAAAAGTTTTAAAATTTATGATTTGATCACAAAACTTTAGAAATTTTTTTCTAAATAGTCCAGAATACTTCCATATCCTATTAAATCGTATTATAAAGTATATTTATATGTAAAAGATATATTAAGTATATATCAATAGGTAGAAAGTATAAAAATTAAATATAAAATCTGACGAAGTTAGGAATAGGGATTGATTGTTATTTGTTATTTTGGATTAGGTGGTGATTGCATTGAGGTTAGAAAAAAGTACTTTGAATTGAATTTTGAGAATTAAGGTGAGTAGTTTACTACTTTTGGAGAAGCTTGTGGGTGCATGTGTGTGAATTGTTCATATATATGATATATGTTGATGTTTGGGGTTGTAATTAAAAATTTTGCAATTGTAAATTGTTATACATGTGAATTTGAAAAAATTATGGGATGAAAGGGAAATTTTATGTGTGTTGGGATTAAAACAATAGTTTTAGTGCGTGTTGAAATCATGTTTTATGAAAAGGGGACTGAGTTACCAGGTCTAAATGATAATAAGATCGTATACCGACATGGTCAGTATAGGGATGTGCACATAGGGGCCAGTTATCAGGCTAGTGATAATAAGAGACGGGGTCAGTCATCAGGCTAGTGATGACAAGAGACGGGGCCAGTTACCAAGCTAGTGGTAACAAACATGATTTAACAAATGTATTTGAGACTGAGTGTGTATGTGTGTGTGTGAGTATTTTGAGTTATAAATATCTTTTTATTTATAAAGTTATTTGTGATCATGAGATTATTTTGTTTACATGATTATGTGGGAGGGATTGTGATACAATTTGTTGAACTTATATATGTATCAAAGTTTATTTTTTTGTAAATAAAATATGAGATTTATTTTCACACTTCATTAGAGGTGATTACTATTCACGGGTCTTTTGCGATCACCCAAACATTTAATATTTTTCAGGTGAGGATCAGAGGGAGAAGTAAGTCCTTGGATAGACAAAGGATTAGAAGAATTGAAGATTTATTTTATTGTAGGTCTTCAGGAATAAATGTCTTTTATGATTTTGAGACAAGTATTTAATTGTTTTGAGAATAATGTTGCTCATGTTTAAACTTTAGAGTCATGAATCTTATGGTTTAGTTATTATTTTACATGAGTTTAATAATGATGTTGGTTATGTTTAGTTTATTCCTCTGGTGTTCATTAAGTCGATGAATTGGATCACTTTATTATTTGTCTTTCGCTGTATTTTGTATTTATTATACAAAGGGTTAATTGGTTAAGGCCTTGGTGGCCGGTCCACCGCTCACCCTATGTGATCTGGGGTGGGGGTGTGACAAGTTTGGTATCAGAGCATAGATTTATGAATTACTAGAGGATTAGGCTGAATCTTAAGAATTATTTAGGGTTTAATTGATTTTGTTTAAGAGATATGGAATGATGATACTACTGCATAGTATTATTGCTTTGGTGACTAAGACAAGTTAGTTTATTTTGTATTTTGTAGAAAGTATAGATGGCTGCAAGAAAGAAAGGTAAGGGTGCTGCAAATGATAGGGCTGACACTAACGACGTTCTAGGGATTGCAAATGATGAGCCACCATTGAATGTCTATAGGGATATTAGGAAGGCCTTACAGGGAATCACAAAGATCCTTGAATGGCCGAAGGGTCAGAAGGAACTCAGCATTGAGGATTTTAGGAAGATGACACCTACTTTCACAAGGACTACTACCCCTACAGATACAAAGAGTTGGATCATAGAAATTGAGAAAATTTTGGAGGTCTCAAAGTGTGATGATGGTAAGAAAGTGGCTTATGCAGCTTTTATGTTTAAAGAGGAAACAAAACATTGGTGGAGGATGGAGAAGTAAGTGAAGAGATACCCGACTACTCCAATGACTTGGGAGCAGTTTAAGATTGGATTCTTTAAGAGATATTTTCCACAGGTAGAGAAGGATCGTTTGGCACAAGAGTTCATGAATGTGGCTCAGGGGGGCATGACAGTTGATGAGTATTAGAAGAAATTTACAAAATTAGTGGCATGCCATGCACAAGGTAGTAGATGAGAGACATAAAGTAAGGAAGTTTGAAAGAGGTCTGAAGTGGAGCATTAAGGAGAAACTGATTGCCTTAGAACTATCAACATATCAAGAGGTTGTTTGCAAGGCTCGAGTTTTGGAGGGCAATGACAAGGAAAAAGACAGGGAGAAGGAAGAAAAGAAGAGAATAAGGTAGTTTTTCAATGGAATGATAAATGTGAAAACAGTTTCAATAACTTAAAGGAAAGGTTAGTGTCTGCTCCAGTTCTTACTATACTTGCAAATAATGGTGGGTACGATATCTACTGTGATGCTTCGAGAAAAAGGTTGGGTTGTGTATTGATGCAACACGGGAAGGTTGTGGCTTATGTTTCTAGGTAGTTGAAATCTTATGAGTAGAATTATCCAACACATGATTTAGAGTTGACAGCTATTGTGTTTGCATTGAAGATATGGAGGCACTATTTGTATAGGGAGACATGTGAGATATATACAGATCATAAGAGTCTTAAGTATTTATTTACACAGGAAGAACTGAACATGAGACAACGAAGATGGCTAGAGCTAATCAAAGACTATGATGTGAATTTGCACTATCATCCAGGGAAAGCAAAATGTGGTGGCAGATGCACTAAGTAGAAAGTTTGCAGGGAGCATGGCCTCTTTGCTTACTCAGCAAAAACAACTTGTGAGGGATCTTGAAGAGGCAAAAGTTGAGGTGGGGATACCTGAGACTAATACTTTTGTAGCAAGCTTGAAAGTTCGGCCTACCTGCTAGATCGAATAAAGGAGGCACAACTGAATGGCCCAAATTTGGTGAAGATTTTAGAAGAAACAGAGCGAGGTAAGAAGACTGATTTTTGTGTGGTAGATGGAGTGTTGAGATTTGGGGATCGCGTTTGCATACCTAATGACCCAGAGATTAAGCAACAAATGATGGAGGGGCCCATTACTCTCGTTTCAAAGTTTATCTGAGAAGTACAAAGATGTATCATGACTTGAAAGTAATATTTTGGTGGAATAATGTGAAGAGAGAAATGGTTGACTATGTGTCTAGGTGTCTGACATGTTAAAAAGTGAAAGCAGAACACAAAAGGCCAGGAGAATTATTGCAACCACTTCCTATCCCTGAATGGAAGTGGGAGCACATTACCATAGATTTTGTGAGTGGGCTACCCAAAACCCCGAGTGAACTTGATTCTACTTGGGTTGTGGTGGATAGATTGACAAAGTCCACACACTTCTTGCCTATGAGGATTACTTATCCCTTGAAAAAATTTACTAAACTTTACATAAAGGGGATTGTGAAATTACATGAGGCCCCATTGTTGATTGTTTCAGATAGAAATCTTCGATTTGTCTCAAGGTTTTGGGGTAGTTTATAAAAGGAATTTTATGGGCACCGAGTTGAGATTTAGTACAGCTTACCACCCACAAACAGATGGACAGTCGGAGAGAGTTATTCAAATATTGGAAGACATGCTTCATGCTTGTGTGCTTGACTTAAAGGGTTCTTGGGAAGAGCATTTACCACTAGTTGAGTTTGCTTATAATAATAGCTTTCAAGCTAGCATTGGCTTGGCACCATATGAGGCTTTATATGGGCAAAAATGTAGATCTCCAATTTGTTAGGCTGAAGTTGGGGAAAGAAAGATATATGGGCCAGAGATAGTACAAGAGACCATAGATAAAGTACAGTTGATTCAAGAAAGACTTCGGGTTGTTCAGAGTAGACAGAAAAGTTATGCGGACAATCGGAGGAGAGACTTAGAATTTCAGGAGGGCGATCATGTATTCCTAAAGGTGTCAACTTGGAAAAGGATTATGAGATTTGGTAAAATGGGGAAATTGAGTCCAAGGTATATTGGACCCTTTGAGATTCTAGGAAGAGTTGGTGCAGTGGCTTATAGGCTAACCTTACCACCACAGTTGACTGATATCCATAATGTGTTTCATGTATCAATGCTTAGGAAGTATATGTCAGATCCATCACATGTAATTGAGGTTGAGCCGCTACAAATGTGAATGGAATTGTGTTATGAGGAGCTACCAGTGAAAATCATGGATCGAGAAGAACGAGTATTGAGGAACAGGGTCTTTCCGCTCGTTAATGTTTTGTGGAAGAAACACTCGGAGAAGGAAGCTACCTAGGAGAGCAAACAAGCGATGAAGGAAAAGTACCCACAATTGTTCCAATATCAGGACACACTAAGTTTGGAGGACCAAACTTCTTAAAGGGGGGAAGAGTTGTAATACGAAATATAGGTATGTGTTTGGATTTTTTTTTTATAAATAAATAAAAAGAGAGGAATTTATTTAAAAAATTTAAAATTGGTTGTACGCTAATATGTTACGGTTAAAACTGTAAGTCTAAGAAATTAGAAGGACTTAAGTGACATTAAAAAGAGATAACTATCGTGTCTTATAAGTAAATTGATTGCCCTAGTTGCCTCATATATTTTTAGAATTGCTGGCTGGAAGGAATAGGCAGCAACAGAGAGAAAGAAGGAAAGAGAGAGATAGAGAGAAGGTAGAAAGAAGAACGAAAGGAAAAAAAAAAAAAGAGTAGACTCATTAAAGGTATGAATTCATTAATTATTGGTAAGTTTGTAAGTTATTCAATTACATAGTATTAAGATTATCATAAATAGTGATAAGGTATACTTATATATATATATACATATATATATATATATAGATATATATATGTTCATGGTAAAGAATAGTGATGAATGTATAAATGAGTTTTATTAGAAGTTGTTAATTTAAGTGTTTTGAAACCTAATATAAAATTTATTGTTTTTGAGGCCTCTAAAGAATTTGTTTAATGTCTTGCAAAGCAAAAAGAAAACAAAGGGGAAAGGAAGTACTGGTTCCAGGTTCTGCCGTTGGAAGAAGAAGACCAAATCTAAAAATTACAAAAAGCTCCCCTTTAGTTGAAAAAGTTTTATTTTGGCCCCTTTATTTTTCTAAACTTAATTTTAAGTACCTTTTTACTTGGTAAGTTGCAAGAACAGAATTTGGAAAATTTATGGCAAGCTCGAAAACAAAAAATTCGTTTTTCAAGGAAATTATACTTTGGCCCCAAAAGTTTTAAAAATTATGATTAAACCCCAAAACTTTATAAACTTCTTTTTAAACAGTTCAGAATACTTTCATACCCTATTAACTCGTATTAGAAAGGATATTTATATGTAAAACAAATATTAAGTATATATTAATAGGTAGGAAGTATAAAAATTAAATATAAAATCGCGAAATAATGAAAGCAATGAATAGAGATTGATTGTTATATGTTATTTTTGATTAAGTAGTAATTGCATTAAAGTTGGGAAAGAGTGCTTTGAATTGAATTTTGGGAATCAAGGTGAGTAGTTTACTACTTCTTTTGAGAGAATTTTCTATATTAAACTTGTGGGTGCGCGTGTGTGAATTTTTCATATATATGATATATGTTGATGTTTGGGGTTGCAATTTCCTCCTTTATTTGGTGTTTTCCAATTAGTTGACACTTTATTTCATTTGTAGTGGATAGAACGGTGGTTGGGTCCCGCCCTTCTAGTAGGAGCACTCCTTTTCTTAAGGTGGCAAGGGTGAGCGATGCCTCCTTAGAGAACTCTCCAGTGGTGTCACCCGAATTGAACTCCCCTCAAGTGACCCCTCTAGTGGTGCCTCGGGCATGCTCCCATCATGTGACCCCTCTAGTGGTACCTCCTCGGTCAGCGACTCCTTCAGTTGTGAGTGCTACTCCAGAGACTCCCCTGTCAACCACACCTTCTGCCCCTTGTTTTTCGACTCCTACTGTGGGAACTTCTACAGGGGCACCTATTTATATTAGCTTCATGTTGGGTAATATGCGAGTCATCAGGGGTCAACTTGGGAGGTTTGTGTATCCTACTGATGTGAGTAAGATTAGTGCTTTGGTCACCGAGGGAATCATCAACACTTTTCTAGAAGACTGGGCTCAGGTAAGGGTTTGTTATCTCCCTTTCTCCCATCCTCCCCTAAAAGTCTGACATTCTTTTTCCTTTTGTCTTTCTTTAGGCTTCAACTGCATCTGTATGCTTGTTTTCAAGGGCCCATTATTATGGCTAACAGAAGCATAGCCATGAAGCTATGCAAAAGGAACTTCTCGTTGCTTTAGGGAGGATTGCAGAGCTTCAAGCTGCTGGTAAGGCTTCTCAGGTTAAGCTTGTGGCGGCCCATGAGAAGGTCGCGCTCATGGAGGCTGCCTTCTTGAGAGTAGAGGCAGAGTTTTCGATGTCCCATGATAGAGCGACTAAGCTTGAGGCTGAACTTTCGGTGACCCGTGAAAGGGATACGCTCAGAGAGGCTGAGCTTGTGGAGGCCCACGAGAGGGCCATGCTTAGAGAGGCTGCCTACTTTAGAGCAAAGACAAAGGTGAAGGCAGCTCACGAGAGAGTTTCTTAGGCTGAGAAGAGGGCTCTTATAGCTGAGAGTGATTTGAAGAATGGCCTTACAGATGCCTTTATTGATGGTTATGGGGAGTTTTGAGAAAAGATTTCTAATGTTTTTCCTGATATTGATGTTTCAGGTTTTCTATCATCTGAGGCGCCTAATAATGGTGATGGAGAATCTGACGGTGCTGAGAGTGATGAGGAAGAGGAGCACGGCGACCACCATGAGAGTAGTTAAAGTGTTGGGGATTTTTGATTTTTTTTTTAGAAAGGCATTTTGTAGCCTTATTCTTGTAAAAGTGTTTTTTTTGCCACTGATGCTCCTTTGAAATTGAATACAAAAATGCAAAGATCTTTTAGAGTAAATCAAGAAAGTTTTATTCATTCAATGTCCATGTCAAGCAATATCGAGTAATAACCCCAAAAGTACAAAAAATAAAATCAAATTCCTTAACTTTTCTACTCTCTTAAGGTGTCATTGGTAGTACTTCTTCAAGTACTCAGCGTTCCATGGATGGGGTAAGACCTTCCCCTTGGAATTCTGGATCTTGTATGTGTTTGGCCTCACCACTTCTGTTATGAGGTAGGGTCCTTCTTAGTTTGTTCCCAACTTTCCTTCTCGTGAATCCTTTGTGGTGAGAATCACGTTTTTGAGGATCAAGTCTCCTGGTTGGAAGGAATAAGGCTTTACCCTCGAGTTGTAGTACTTCGCGTTGCGACTCTTGTACTCCTCGTTGCGGACCACAGCCATCTCCTTCCCTCCCTTGCCTCCTCTACTAAGTAGAGGTTGATGCGAAGTCCTTCCTCATTGGTGATGGAGTCATGGTGTTGGACCCTTAGAGAATGTACCCCGATCTATACAGGGATCATTGTCAAAGTTTCGAAGGCGAGGAAAAATGGGGTTTCACTAGTTACAGTTCTTTGAGTGGTTTGGCAAGCCCATAATACTCTTTGGAGTTCGTTAACCTAACGACCATTCACTCTTTCAAGCCTTGTCTTTAGGTTGCATAATACCGTTTTCACCATGACTTTTGTTTGTTTGTTTTCCTGCGGTGCGCTAGGCTGGAGTGAGACTGCTTTATCTGAAGGTCGGAGGAGAAAGAGTTAAGGAGCTTGTTGTCGAATTGCTTAGCGTTGTCACTGACTATGGTGTGGGGTATCTCGAAGCGACAGACTAGGTTTTTGCAGATAACGTCTTTAATCTTCACATTTGCTATCTTTGTTAAGGGTTCAGCCTCTGCCCACTTAGTGAAGTAGTCAACGACTACCACCACAAACTTGCACTTTCCTCTACTCAGAGGTAGAGGGTCTAGAATGTTGATGCCCCATTTGAAGAAGGGTCGCGGATTCATCATAACTG